ATATGTTAAAAGAAGCAGGAATGATTTGCTTATACTATGTCTCTATGTCAATGACATGTTGATAACAGGTAGCTGCAAGAAGGAGATCAAAGACTTCAAAGGTGATCTGAGCAAGGAGTTAGAAATGTCTGACCTGGATAGCATTTCACACTTCCTTGGTATTAAATTCTACAAGAGTAGTAAAATCCTGATGATGCATCAAAGAAGATATGCAAGTGATATACTCAAAAGTTTTGAGATGAAGGATAACAATGCAACTTCGACACCTGTTGAATTAAGACTGCAATTGACGAATGCTTTAAGTGAAGATGAATTCGATCCAACTCAGTATAGAAGACTCATTGGATCACTAAGATATCTTTGTCACACAAGATCATGTCTAGCATACAGTGTAGGTATGGTGAGTAGATTCATGCAAAAGCCAAATGTATCACACCTTGCAACCATAAAGAGGATACTAAGGTATCTCAAAAGAATTATCAACTATGACATTTTGTTTCCTGCCACATATGAAGGAAAAGAATGAAAATTAGTGGCTTATACTGACTCAAGTTGGTGTAGTGGTATTGAGGATAGAAAGTCCATATTTGTTTATGTGTTTATGTTAGGTGGTACACCAATTGCTTGGAGCTCAAGAAAGAAATTAGTAGTATCGTTGTCATCATGTAAGGACGAGTACATAGTTGACTCTCTCTGTGCATGTCAAGCAACATGGATGGTGAATTTGATCGAAGAAATTACGAGGAAGAATCATGGAGCAATGACCATGAAGATCGATAGTATGTCCGCTATTAATCTGACGAAGAATCCGATAGCACATGAAAGAACAAAACACATCAAAATGAGGTTCCATTATCTTCGAGAGCAAGTAGCAAATGAGAAGTTAAACTTGGAACACTATAAATAGAGAATCAGATTGAATACATCATGACGAAGGCTGTGCAGGTCGAATTGTTCAAAAGATTAAGAACAATGATGAATGTAGAGACAGCTTAGACACAATGAATTAGGTGGTGTGTTAAATATGTAATCTTTTGTGTCAAGAATAATTGTAAATTTGACACAGTCGAAGTAATGTGCATTCAATAGAGTCAAACATAATCTCTATTAACTGTATTCGACAAAAAGTCGAATACAACCTATTGAAGTTTATATTAGTTAGTTACTTTGAGAATTACTTGGTGGACAAGTAATTTCATTACGAATAAGGAGATATCCTACTATTGTAACATGTTTAATAAGAGAAATTCAATAAGAATAATCTGCAGAATTTGATTCATCTTTCTCTCCATTTTCTTTAAATTTTTTAAGGTTTTTTTTGTTGACTAGGATAATTAACTTATTAATATTATTTTAATTAATTAATTAAGTAATGATTAATATGTTATTATTAATTTTTATAATTAATTAATTAATCAAAATTTTAAATGAAACTCTTTGGGCCTTTAGTTATTAGGCCATGTCTTTGGTCAATCTTTATAATCCACAATTGAATTATTGTATTTGTTTTACCTTTATAAACACTTTTATGTCTTATACAAAAATCAATGTAGGACTTCTAAAATTTTGATAAATTGAAAAGGGGACTAAAATCAAACTTTTATATTTTATTATTAATTAATTAATCAAAATTTTAAAAACCTTTATAAACACTTTTATGTCTTATACAAAAATCAATGTAGGACTTCTAAAATTTTGATAAATTGAAAAGGGGACTAAAATCAAACTTTTATATTTTATTATTAATTAATTAATCAAAATTTTAAAAGAAACTCTTTGGATCTTTAGTTATTTGCCTATGTCTTTGATCCATCTTTCTAACCCACCATTGAATTGTTGTGTTTGTTTCAGCTTTATAAACACTTTTATGTCTTATACAAAAATTAATGTGGGACTTCTAAAAGATATTTTATACTACAACATTATTTCATTCTTCTCCATTGCAATAACTTCTCCTTTTTCTCAAACTTGTTTCCATTGTTGGGCAATAATGATAATTATCTATTCAATTATTTATCACTTTCCACTAAATCTTCAAAAACATCTATTTTCACTACTTTAATCTCTAAAAGTCATTGAATCTTTTAAAATACCTATCAAGTTATAAATTTTGTTCATTTTACATTTTTACATCTTACATCCAATCCAATCTATTCAAATATGAAAGTAGGAATAATTGTAATTTCCAGTTGCCTTTTTTTGCAACAGTGGTCATCTTCCACCAAATTTACCTTATCTGAACAATTCCAGCACTGATAAGCTTTTGGATCTTGTCCATCACACCTGAGTTCTTGGTATGTTCATGTGCAGCCTTGGGATTTTCCTGAAAGTTAACCAACACCTGTCACAAAACTAACAAACAGACGGTTGAAATTGGTTGATGGGATTCCTTTTTGTTAACCTTCTGCTCTACAGTTATAAACTTGCTTTTGCTGATGATGTGCTTCTCTTTGCCTGGGTGACTGCAATTTTGTTGAATTGATGATGGAAACCATAGACAAATTTTCTAAGACGAGTTATGAACTTGTTATATTTTTAATTGTATATGAATTTTATGTTGCAAAAATCATAATTACTGTAATGATAGATATAATATAAATTTATTTTGTATAGTATTGCAGTTTGAATTGCATTGATTTTGCAAAATAAATTTATACCATTAGAAATGTAATTGATTATAGTAGTTGTTGTAATGTAAATTTTGATTTATTAGTGAAATAAATTCATATAAGTAAACATAGCTATCATTATTTAGCATACTACCAAATTTGCATAGCTTAGCCTTGCTTCAGCAACCACACCCATTAAATCACTAGCCTTTACGTAATTGCTATTTACCTATTTCCCTTAAAGGTTGTTAGATTTTCTAAAGATATTCCATAAAAGCTCAGGCATAGCAGTATTGTTTCAAATATTTAACTCAATGATACTTAGACCGCCATGTTTCTTAGGACTACAAACATGTTTTCAAGTTGTAGGGAAAAGCATTGCATCAAGTAATTAGCTACAACAAATGACACAAATTTGTTGAGTTGAGCTTTTTTTAGAAGTCCCACCTTCATTTTTGTATAAAACATAAAAGTGTTTATAAAGCTGAAACAAACACAATAATTCAATTGTGGGTTAGAAAGATGGACCAAAAGCATGATTTGATAATTAAAGACCCAAAGAGTTTTTTTAAAATTTTGATTAATTAATTAATTATAAAAATTAATAATAACATATTAATCATTATTTATTTAATTAATTAAAATAATATTAATAAGTTAATTATTCTAGTCAAAAAAAATCTTAAATTAATTTTATAAAAATGACCTAGCATTAGACACGTCATCTTAGATAGTGCCACATCATTTAAAAAAAATTAAAATTGGAGAGGGGACTAAAATCAAACTCAAAACTTAAAAAAGGGACCAAAATCGTTGTTTTTAAAATAGAGGGACCAAAATCCAAAAAAATACAAAATAGGAGGATCATATTTGCAATTAAGCCAAAAAAATTTAAATTGGAAAAGGGACTAAAATCAAACTCAAAATTAAAAAAAAGACCAAAATCATAGTTTTTAAAATGGAGGGATCGAAACCCAAAAAAATACAAAATAGGAGGACCATAGTTACAATTAAATCAATTTTTTTTCTTCTCAAATTATTGTACAAGAGAATTATCTTGAAATTTCTTACTTCTTAAATGCAAGAAAGGAGATTATTAAATACTAATAGTGTAAGAGAATCATCTTGAAATTTCTTACTTCTTGAATGCAAGAAAGGAGATTATTAAATACTAATAATGTATTTAGTCTGTTTGATTTCCTTAATCTTATCATAAATATTGTTTGATGTCATGCAGATCTAGCATACACCATAACATTTCCATTTCAATCCTTCATCCTAGTAATTAATTACACACATGAGCTGTATTTACAGGACCTCATATTCAATTATTATTCAAACAAAACACAATAAAAAGAGTCACGGTCCTTCCACTAATTTTTAGTTTTTACATTTTAAACATAATTTATTTACTACATTTTTAATATGACTTTTGGCAGAGATTTTTTTATATTATTTATTACACTCCACTCTTATTCACGAGAGCTACTATTAGTTGCTAATTTACTAGGTTATTTATTCAATTTCTTAAAAGGAAATAATTTCTGTTTTGGGTAAGGAAAGTTACTCAACCCTAAGTTTGAACATTGAACGGTTAATAGTTAAATCTTTTCCATATTTTAAACATAACTTTATCTTAAATAATTTAATAACAAAATTCATTATCTTTCCATTCCCCTCAATTTTGTCTTTACCAAAAAGAACAATAGCATAACATTACGTGACAAATGACAACGTTTAGATATAACGTATTTGCTGCACGTGCTCCACGTGCCAGTGTACAACAAACCAGTAATAATGAATGAGTTGTATTTATATTCCAGGCATAGATTCCCCCTGTTTTATTTTATCTTCATCTTTTTTATCAAAATCACAATAAAACATGCACATCAGTTATAAAAAATTAAAATAAAACACCTACACGTGGCGTCACTTTTCTAATGTCTCATCACAGCCGTTAATTGTTATCAATCACTGCAAACGGATCAAAACCCAGTAAGATCCATTACGACGTCGCTTCATCGAATCGATCAGTTTCAACTTTCAAGAACTTTTATTTTTTTATTTTGTAGTGGTCTTGGTGGGTCCCATACTTTAAACCCGCCACCATAGGAGCGTGTTAACCACGACCCCACAGCGCGTGGTGTTGAAACTGCGCAGTTAAACTAAAAAAAGTTTCAGTTCTTTTTCATGTACTTTCCTTCTTCTTAGCTCTATCTTCTTCCGCCATAGCTAAGAAACAGAAACTGAAATCAACGAGAAATTGGAGAGAAATTGGTGAGAAAATGAAATAACTTATCTAAACTCACGAAACAAAATGTATTCGAAGTCGAAAACGGTTTAGTTTTAGTAACAAACTCTCAACTGCTTAGTTTCAGTTGGACGGTTATAATGTATATGAGACAGCGCCCCGCCACATCCGCGCGTGGCGCTGCCGTGAACCAGCCACGACCGCCACCACCGCTGAACTCTGTCTTTAATATTATTCCCGTTCACGACCTGCTCATAGATCATCCTTCTCTCCGGTATCCAGAGGTACGCGCCGCCGCAGCCGCACTTCGTACCGTCGGAGACTTACCAAAGCACCGTTTCATGGCGTGGCAACCGGACATGGACCTTCTGGACTGGCTCCGGTTATTGTTCGGGTTTCAGAACGACAACGCGCGGAACCAGAGGGAGCATTTGGTTCTTCACCTTGCAAATGCTCAGATGCGACTCGAACCTCCTCCAGCTATAGTTGATTCGCTTGACGGAGGTGTTTTGCAGAGGTTTCGAAAGAAGCTACTTCATAACTACACTGCATGGTGTTCGTATCTCGGATTAAAGTCTAACGTGTTGCTCTCTCGCCGCCGTCGTGACCCGTCGGATCTTCGCCGTGAGTTGTTGTATGTTTTGCTTTACCTTCTAATTTGGGGCGAAGCTGGTAACCTTCGGTTTGTTCCTGAGTGTATTTGTTATATTTATCATTTCATGGCGAAAGAGCTTAATTTGGTTCTTGACGAGTTTATAGACCCTAATACTGGTAGTCCTTTTTTGCCTACGGTTTCCGGCGATTACGGATTTTTGAAGTCTGTTGTTATGCCTATTTGTAATACTATTAAGGTTGAGGTTGAGAGTAGTAGAAATGGGAAAGCTCCACATTCTGCTTGGAGGAATTATGATGATATAAATGAGTATTTTTGGAGTAGGAGGTGTTTGAAGAAGCTAGGATGGCCTTTGAAGTTTGAGTCTAGTTTTTTCGGGACTACGCCGAAGGATAGGCGTGTGGGGAAAACTGGGTATGTTGAACTAAGGTCGTTTTGGAATATCTATAAGAGTTTTGATAGGCTCTGGGTTATGCTGATTTTGTTCATGCAGGGTGCTATTATTGTTGCTTGGGAGGATACTAAATATCCATGGCAAGCATTGGAGAGAAAGGATGTTCTAGTCAAGATGTTGACTTTGTTTATCACTTGGGGTGGTCTTCGGATACTTCAATCGGTGCTTGATGCTGGAACTCAGTATAGTTTGGTTACTAAAGAGACTGCTTGGCGTGGAGTAAGGATGGTGCTCAAGAGTATGGCTGCTATAACATGGACTGTTTTGTTTGCGGTCTTTTATGGATTGATTTGGATGGAGAAGGGTTCTAGTCGAAATTGGTCTGATAAGGCAGATCAGAGGATTATTACATTTCTTAAGATTGTCTTCTGCTTTCTTGTACCAGAAATGCTGGCATGTGTACTGTTTATAATACCATGTTTACGGAATTTCATTGAGGAATCGGACTGGAGTATAATATACTTATGGACATGGTGGTTTCATACCCGGATTTTTGTTGGCCGTGGTGTGAGACAAGGGCTTCTAGATAACGTGAAGTATACTATTTTCTGGGTAGGAGTATTAGCTTCAAAATTTTCGTTCAGTTACTTTCTTCAGTTCAAACCTCTAGTTGCTCCTACAAAGGCCCTATTGAAACTTAGGGGCATTAATTATAAATGGCATGAGTTTTTCAATAACACCAACAGAGTTGCAGTTGTTTTGCTATGGTTACCTGTTGTGCTAATATACTTCATGGATTTGCAAATATGGTATTCGATTATCTCTGCCGGTGTTGGTGGTACGATTGGTCTGTTCTCACATTTGGGTGAAATTCGGAACATCTCACAACTTAGGCTCCGATTCCAGTTCTTTGCCAGTGCAATGCAGTTCAATCTGATGCCAGAGGAGAAGCTGTTAAGTCAGCAGGCAACATTGCTGAGGAAGCTTCGCGATGCCTTCCATCGGTTGAAATTACGATACGGACTTGGTAAACCCTTCACAAAAATTGAATCAAGCCAAGTGGATGCCACCAGGTTTGCTTTAATATGGAATGAGATTATCATAACTTTCAGGAAGGAAGATATCATCAGTGATCGAGAACTAGAACTCTTGGAACTGCCACCAAATTGCTGGAAAATTAGGGTAATTCGATGGCCGTGTTTCCTTCTATGCAATGAACTACTGCTTGCTCTCAGTCAGGCAAAAGAGCTGGAAAATGAGTCTGACACGTCACTTTGGTTGAGGATATGCAAGAGTGAGTATCGCCGGTGTGCGGTCATTGAAGCTTATGATAGCATTAAATACTTATTTCTTACTATTCTTAAAGTTGATAAGGTAGAGTTCTCCATTGTGACTAATATATTCAGGGAAATAGACTACTACATTCAGGGGGGTAAGTTAACAGATGCATACAAGATGTCTCTGCTGCCAGAGCTACATGCTAAGGCGATTGAACTTGTTAAACTTTCTTTACAACCAAATAAAGATTTGAATAAGGCTGTAAATTTGTTGCAAGCCTTATATGAATTGTGTGTTCGAAGATTTCCAAAGGTGAAGAAGACCGCCACCCAGCTGGTTGAGGAAGGTCTGGCGCTAGAAGGTCCAACAACTGATGGGGGACTGCTCTTTGAGACTGCTATTGTTTTTCCTGATGCCGGAGATGAAGTCTTTACTAGGCAACTCAGAAGGTTGTATACAATTCTTACTTCAAGAGACTCTATGCACGATGTTCCTTTGAATCTTGAGGCTCGACGACGGATTGCTTTCTTTAGCAATTCTTTGTTTATGAACATGCCTCATGCTCCCTATGTTGAAAAGATGATGGCTTTCAGTGTTTTGACCCCATATTATGATGAGGAAGTTTTATATAGCAAAGAGTCTCTTCGAAAGGAGAATGAGGATGGTATTACTACTTTGTTTTATTTGCAGAAGATATATGAAGATGAATGGAATAATTTTATGGAAAGGATGCGTAGAGAGGGCTTGAAAGATGAGGATGATATTTGGACAACAAAAGCCTGGGACCTCCGCCTTTGGGTATCTTATAGAGGTCAAACATTGTCTCGCACAGTCAGGGGGATGATGTATTATTATAGCGCCCTTAAGATGCTTGCTTTTCTTGATTCAGCATCTGAGATGGATGTAAGAGAGGGATCTGAGCATATTATTTCATATGGTTCAACATATGAAAACAGAAATTTGAATACTCTATCCTCAGACAGGCATCCATCTCTACGGAAATTGAGAAGGGCGGATAGCAGCGTGTCGCTGTTATTCAAGGGACATGAATATGGGAGTGCGCTGATGAAGTTCTCATATGTTGTGGCATGCCAGATGTATGGACGCCATAAGGCAGAGAGGAATCCCCGAGCTGATGATATACTGTATTTGATGAAAAATAATGAGGCCCTTCGAGTAGCATATGTTGATGAGGTTTCTTTTGGGAGGGAAGAGACTGAATATTACTCTGTTCTTGTGAAGTTTGATCAGCAATTGCAGAGTGAGGTTGAGATTTATCGGGTCAGATTGCCCGGTCCTTTAAAACTTGGAGAAGGGAAACCTGAGAATCAGAATCATGCCATGATTTTTACGCGGGGGGATGCTGTTCAGACAATAGATATGAATCAAGACCATTATTTTGAGGAGGCTCTCAAAATGCGGAATCTGCTGGAGGAGTTCAATGCCTACCATGGTATCAAGAAGCCAACCATTTTGGGGGTCCGAGAGAATATCTTCACAGGATCTGTTTCGTCGCTTGCTTGGTTCATGTCAGCCCAAGAGACAAGTTTTGTAACACTAGGCCAGCGAGTTTTGGCAAACCCTTTGAAAGTACGGATGCACTATGGTCATCCGGATGTGTTTGACAGGTTCTGGTTCTTGTGTCGTGGTGGAGTCAGCAAGGCCTCTAGAGTGATCAATATCAGTGAAGATATTTTTGCTGGTTTCAATTGTACATTGCGAGGTGGCAATGTGACACATCATGAATACATACAGGTAGGTAAAGGAAGAGATGTTGGCTTGAATCAGATATCCATGTTTGAGGCAAAGGTCGCAAGTGGCAATGGTGAACAGGTTTTGAGCAGAGATGTTTACCGGCTAGGTCATAGATTAGACTTCTTTCGCATGCTTTCAGTGTTCTACACAACTGTAGGGTTTTACTTTAACTCCATGGTAGTTGTACTGACAGTCTATGCCTTTCTTTGGGGCCGCCTTTATATGGCCCTCAGTGGCATTGAAAGGGAAGCCCAGAAAAACGCTAGCAACAATAAAGCCCTTGGTGCAATCGTAAATCAGCAGTTTATAATACAGCTTGGTATTTTCACTGCACTCCCAATGGTTGTTGAAAATACTCTTGAGCATGGTTTCCTTCCTGCAGTATGGGACTTCTTGACAATGCAGTTGCAGCTTGCATCACTATTCTACACATTCTCTTTGGGAACTCGTACCCATTTCTTTGGTCGGACTATACTTCATGGTGGTGCGAAGTACCGAGCCACTGGCCGCGGTTTTGTGGTGGAGCACAAGAGTTTTGCTGAAAACTATCGACTATATGCTAGAAGCCATTTTATTAAGGCTATTGAACTTGGAGTTATTCTAATTGTGTATGCTTCTCATAGTCCCTTGCCTAAGGGTACTTTTGTCTACATAGCTATGACAATATCAAGTTGGTTTCTTGTAGTTTCATGGATAATGTCTCCTTTTGTCTTCAATCCCTCTGGATTTGATTGGTTGAAGACTGTATATGACTTTGAAGACTTTGTGAATTGGATTTGGTATCCGGGAGGGCCATTCAGAAAGGCAGAATTCAGCTGGGAAACATGGTGGTATGAGGAGCAAGATCATCTCAAAACAACCGGTATATGGGGAAAGCTGTTGGAAATCATTTTAGACCTTCGATTTTTCTTCTTTCAGTATGGCATTGTTTATCAGCTGGGTATTGCCGATAACAGTACTAGTATAGCTGTGTACTTGCTGTCTTGGATATTCATGGTTGCTGTTGTTGCGATTTATATCAGTCTAGCATATGCACGGGATAAATATGCTACAAATGAGCACATATATTATAGACTAGTGCAGCTTCTTGTAACTATAGTTACAGTTCTTGTAATTGTCCTCTTACTGGAGTTCACTAGCTTCAGTTTTGTTGATCTTCTAACAAGCTCATTGGCATTCATTCCCACAGGTTGGGGAATTATTTTAATAGCTCAGGTGCTTAGGCCTTTTCTACAGTCAACTTTAGTGTGGGATACTGTGGTCTCCTTGGCACGACTATACGATTTATTGTTTGGAATTATTGTTATGGCCCCCATGGCAGTTCTCTCATGGTTACCTGGATTTCAATCAATGCAAACTAGGATTCTCTTTAATGAAGCTTTCAGCAGGGGTCTCCAGATATCTCGAATAGTTAGTGGCAAGAAATCTGCTTAAAATGTCATTGGAGGTAATTTAAGGATATGTTCTTTATCATATAGTTATTTATTAATTGAACATGAAGACATCTGAGATATTTGCAGTTACATTCTATAACAATTTACATGTGCAGGTCTTGCTTAAAACAAAATAGTTTTCAATGGCACTCAGAGAGAGATGTGTTTCTGTATCTTCTATGTAGGTACTGATTTAATGATAGCACTTATCAGAACCAAAACACTGTTTTTAAACTATATTTAACTACATCTCTAAACGAATTTAGCTTAATCTAATTCAAATTTGATACTTATTTTCAGATTATGCAATATCAAAAACCATAGCTTAGCCCTCTTTCCATGACGATTATGGCTTATGTACAACAATTACATGATATTTTCATTGACTCGGCCCCTTAAAGAAAGAAGGGTGATTTCGATCGTCTCCCATAACAGTACATCATCATGTTTCCTTTGTCACATAATTATTGATCTGCCTGTGTAGTTTAGTATTGGAGGAAATTCAGGTGATTTGCTCATATCAGTCATTGACTAAGATCTCCTTGCTGTATATATTGTACCTTTTAGTGGATGAAGACGAGTCAGCCGTGTTTCCTAGTTAGTTTTCAGTTAGGTAGTACTATATCTGCAAGTTAGCTATGCACTTAATTACCTAACCATGTTCGTTAAGCACGTTGTATTGTTCATTAGATAAGATTTTAAGAAGATTCATTCTGCTATTTTCGTTCTTCAGAGTTTTTTGTTTTACTTAAATGGTATTGAAGCTTTTGTGAAGAGCTCTGCTGCCGATATATAGCTAAAAAAACACTAATGTCTTATCTCCTTCATTGCTATATCTATCTCTTATCCTTTGTTCTTGTCAAACTCTCATTCCCATATTCATAAAGCACACCTAAGTTATACCTTCTCTTTGCAATCTGAGATAGAACCTACCTTACCAAGTATCCAGTAAGATCCTCGATGAATATAAGCAACGAAACTTGAGATTGCAATCTTTTAAACAAATTATATCGCGAGATTTAGTTGATCCACCACTCATGAACTAGTATTACTCGTGCATACATTTGGTGTTCCCACCACACTTTTGTTGTATCTATATCTATATATCTATACTTATCTATAAAGGGAAAACATGATTTTGGTGTAATTTTTTTTTTCTTTCAAATATACCCATTTTAGTTTTTATTTTAAATTTTAACTTCTCTTTTTAATAAATGGTAGTTATGTGATGGTTTATTATCTTTTATATCATTATCTATTACTATTATTTTAAAAATAATAAATAAAAAAAAATTAATTAAAAATAATAATATAATTTATATTTTACATGTGTGAGTATTATAAAAAATGGACAGATGGGCAAATGAGTGCTTGTCTGGACGCTAGTATATTTAATGAGTTTGGTTATGCAGAGAAAAATATGATTTATGAATTGATTATGATTAAATTGAGTTTAATGTAAAATAAGTTATGTTTAAGTATATTGATAAAATAATGAGTTGAAAAGTAAATTTCAGTCTAAAAACTTAAAAGTTAAAAAATTGTATCTTCAAATTAGAATTAATTTTGAAGATTATACTCGGTAAAAGTACAAATGTTTTACAACCTCTAGTGGATAAAGGTTTTTAGAGTCTTTAAAGTTGTTGGGGTATTAAAAAATAGCTCAACAACTTTGAAGATTGTGAGGTGAGAAGATATTGTATATATGTATCTTTTGTGCTATTAGTTGCGTTTGTCTATTCAGTGTGATGATACCAATGTATTTATAGCTTTCGAGATCTAGGAGGTGTGGTTAAGTCTATGATTTCCTATGTAACATATGTTGATCTAGTATATACTCTACGCACGATCATGCTCTACGCAAGTTTGGGTGACACATCGAGGCGCTCGAATTAGTGCAAGGGTGATTCGAGAAGAACAAAGGACCAAACGTGTGCCGCTCGTCCGTCCCTAAGATTTCTCTAAATTATACCACTACACATTCCCTTAAGTCCAACGCTCGTAAAGGCCAAAGTGTTTTAATCCCCAACTCATCTTCAAACCTTCGCGAAGAGCCTTGTCGAGGTTTTGCTCCTACTTTTAGGTCTTGAATAATCTTTATGGACAAGACTTAGTTGAGTCCCTCGGGCGAGACATAGCTGAGTCCCATCGGACGAGACTTAGTTAAGTCCTTCAAGCGCCTTTACAAATGTATGTTTGTGTGACACATGTCAATTGGAAAGTCTTGAAGCGTCTGTTGGAGGGAAAGTGTGCAAAGAATTTAATGCCAACAATGATGATTTAACCTTGGGATCCCAATTTACTTTTTTTTTCCTTTGGCACGTGTTGAAACATGTGAAATCTTTCACATCTGATTTGAAGCGTAGAGACTTTTGATAACCCCTAGTTTCGTCCCCTTATTTAAGAAGACGAGAGCCAACTTTTTCCTTTTTTCATGAACTTCCTTGTTTAGAGTTTGCAAATTGTTCCTTCTACCTTGGGTAATTTCTACATCCACACGAGCTCAAGTTCAAGTTATACGCATGTATTCCCCTTTCTTCCTTTCTCTTTATGACGATTATTAGGGATTTAGATCCCTCTACTCGTGATGAGCATATAGCCCTGTGGAACTATTGTTATAGAAATGCTAGGCATCCTGATGGGAGCATTGATTGTAAATTAGTTGAACTAGGAAATGTTCGGAAGCTATGAGAATTCTCTTAATTTCGAGAGCAATAACAGTGGTGGAAGTGATAATGACTTCTCTTTTTCTTCTGTTTTCTCAAGAAACATGACTATCTTGGCTATTTCAGAACTTGAGCCCAAAGATGTGAGGGAGGTTTGGTATGTTTACACCAACGACAACCATACAAATCACTCACTCACCGGCTCTGACCCAACAAAATTACTGACCAACAAACACTAAAACCCATCATCAATACATGTCATACACCTAACCACAAAAACCAAGAGCATACTCCATACCACCACCAATATTCATATGCCTCTAACACATCATCCTACCATAGGCAAAACATGCAAGGAACACAAAACACCAACACTTCCTCCTACCATAACCAATACACCAAAGTGTCACAAGAGACATGCAACTAACATTAGGTTATCGAACACCACAACAACTATTTCTTCCTTTCTCCGACGAATCATTCACACCAATGTCGTCTTTCAATCGTCCAGGCACACACCAATAATCCCATCAACACAACCCAACTACTCTGGCATAGATCACAAACTCAGTTATAGCTGTACGTCAATGCATACAAAGACTACTTAGAAATGCAAAAAATTATTAGAGAATTTGGTGATGATTTTCTTAGAACCTCAAATTCTCAAACATTGGGGGTAAATCAACCTAAGCACAACAAGTTAGGGTAGCTAGAGGTGTGGAACCACTGACCAATATAACTAATCAGGTCATCCTCGTTAGTGTTAATTTTGTTTTCATATATAAAAATAATTTAAATTCAATACTAATATTTATTATTTTTATAAAAGAAATACACACAAATGACAATTGAATTGACAATAGTGTTTAACCCATGCATGCAATCACCAATTAGATTAATAACACCGCATTCACCGTCATCCAATTTGCACCACCACTTTTCGACCTTCAGATCAATTGACACCACCACTTAATTTTTAATTGAAGTCGCAAATTATTTAATTTTATTTTAAAGTGAATCATTTTAAAAATATGTAAAAAAGGTGGTTATTATAAATATTTATTTAAATAAATGGTTATTTGGATAAAAATTTCAGTATTAGAACGTGCGTGATTTTCCATCGTGTTATAGTTTTATAAGCAACTAACTTTATTTTATTTTTGGAAAAAACAATTTACGATATAATATTCACATTAATAATTATAGTAAAAAATTAACTGCACAATCCTTTGATAAAATCAAAGTACTGTAGCAGAAATAGCAAGTCTTAAGTTTGTGGCTTTCTCTCATTAAAGAAAATTCAGTATGAAACTTTTTTTGGTAGGTGTTAAATTGTAGCATAAGGTTTCCTGATATGAGCAAAATCCTATACTCTTGCTAAAATAAAATTCATTCTACAAAATTCAATCACTATTAAGCTATCACAAATTGTCATTACCAATAACAGGTACTTTCTCATATGCAGAAGTTTCTCTGAACCTCTTTGGAAGAAAGCAGCGGCTACCAAATCTTTGCTGAAAGAATACAAGTAAAGCAAATAAAAGAGCAACACTTGGAATTACAATGTCCCAAGCTGTTGAATAAAAATCCATACTATGGTCTGCATATATGTATGATATACCAAGGTGCAATGCAGAACTGTTAGCTCTATAAAGATCGTATGCGTGTGGCAGTATGCGAACAATGGTTGTTCCGAAATAGAACGAAGATGCTAAAGCTTTTTCTTCTGAGTTCGACAATATGTTGAACAGAATTTGTGGGAGCAGAAACCCGTCTTGGAGTAAACCAGCATACGATTTCAAGTCTTCCCAGAGTGATGGAAGTTGATTAAAATGTCGACGAGGAGTCTTAAACCTGTGGCGTGAGAGACGGAACGGTCGAGACCTTTTCTGGCGATAATTCTTCCATATATGCACGAAGCATGCAGTTAGCCCACCGCAAAAATACAGTGGTAGAATAATAAATAGAACCCATTTTTCAGAAACCCATAAACCTGGTTGAGGTTGGCTTTCTTCAGTCTGTCTTGAAGACCAAGTCAATTGTAGAAGTCGCAACTCTAGAAGAAAAGCTACCATTGTCACCATTCGCACGACTACTTCCTTCACTTCAAGCCAGCCGCCGCTCCCGAGAAAAGCATCCTGCACAGTATTATGATTCACCTTGAATAAGGCTTCAAAGTTCAGCATCAGGGGAATCATGTGACCTAGAGTGATAAATAGAAGCATCACAATGGAAATGCGAGGAAGTGCTTCTGTGTGCTTTTTCACATGGAGGAGTTGCAATCCTACAAACACGCAAGCAAGTGTGTTTGATATCATTACCATAACGATCTCAAGGTCCATTCTCCAAATGGAGTCGTCTGCTTGTCTTCTGGTTATAGAATATGAAGACAACTGAAAGGGTTCAAAATAGTAAGAATCTGCCTTTGGTCGCGTGCTTTCTATAGTCCCTTTAACAGATTCACCTCCTTTTGCATCCAATGGAGGAAACTGTACATTAATCATGATTTCACAGTCCAGAGACTCATTCTTCATCATTAATTTGTCATTTCTTCTCAAATGCCGACACCCAATCAGACACATTACTCCAGTTTCTCTGTTGTACAATCCTTCAGCACTAATCTTAACTTCTGTTGATGCGACCTCATTACCAAACTTAAAATCAGAAGAAGGGTTAAGCAAAAACGTATAACTGACATTCAATGAATTGCTGTAATGAAAACCGTGTGCTTTCAAGTTTCCACCATTCGGCGGAATAAATGGAACCCCATAAGGCAGTCCGTCATAACTTTGATCACCAACAAACAGTGGTGATGAGTAACCTTGAGTTACTTGCCCTTCACTATTTGTCACAACCATGCTAAATGCTGTATCTGAAGAATGTCCATCTGGATAGCTCTTTCCTTTTCCTATAGGAGTCACCTTTTCGGCACAAGACTTTCTTACTCTGTCAATTTCAGTATACTTGTACTTTAAACCAGGGAAACTTCCCGATCTCTTCCACATACCTTCAAATCCCACGCTGCCGAAGTAGCCAGGTTCACCAACAAGTTTATCACTCCATATCCGGCCCAAAACAGAACTCCTGTTTCTCAAAGACAACACAGCAGGAAACCTTAACGTAAGCTTAATTGAGCAATCTCCAACATAAGGAGATCCCGTGATGTTCAAAATTCGGCACGCAACTGCACAAAGCCGATTCTCCTTCTCGTCCCACACCCCCTCAGATATATATGTCGTATTCGGACGAGACAGAAACACCAAATCACTATTATCCAAACTACGAAAATCCAACAGCATTTGAATCTTCCTTCTTTCCACGCACCGAGTACCATAGAAACCCATAAAATCAGGCAACTTCACAACACCATCACCACCAAACGGATTGCAACTAACATTACGACAATGACTCCCATATTCAAGTCGAAACCTATCCCTATGTCGAAGAAACACAGAACAGGCATCATTATTCAAATCTCCAAGGCTCAAACTCTCCTCATTCGATCCCGCTCCACAAAAACTATCATTCTTTATCCCACCCATTGTAAAATCGTAACGCGAACTCCGCGATAAAGCCAATATCGAAACAGGTTTAAAATAATCCAAGCTATTAACTTCGTCAAATCTTTCTATAGTTCCAATAATCAAACTATCGAAAATGGTAACACGAATCGGGTAACGTAGCTTAACAACAACATTAACATTTCGCATATTGTTTCTACTACCATAAGATCCTTTCCCAAACATACAAAGCTTACCAGAAGATTGGGACCAAAAGCCATTCACAGAAACACGCATCCTCAGCGAAAGTCTCCGTCCGGGATAAACCCTCATCCCGGGAGTGGACCCCACTCCCGTCAGCCAGAGACTTACTCTCCCTACCAATTGATAAACACCGTCGGTCGCAATTCTAGCGGAATTCACGCGGAACGCAACGTGTTTGAAGAAGTTTGAGTCGGCGGAAGCGTTGAAAAGTGGATCGCCGCCGGAGAAGTAATCGGACTGAAAGTAGAGAGATTCGGCGATGCCAGGGGTGGTTTGAGCGTCGGCAGACGGCGAGGAGGCGGGGGCGGGGACGATGTCATTGCAGAGACGATCGTAGGTGGTTTTGAAAGATGAATCGGAAGGGTTAGAAGCTACAAAGGAGAAGAAGAAGATGATGAAAATCAAGAATGAATTGAAAGAAAGGTCCATTGATGAAGATATGTTACATTTGAATGGTGATTTGAATTTCTTAGGGTTTTGGAAATTGGAGAATAATGTTTGAAACTATATATTAATATGAGATTAATCTGTTACCATATAGTAATATATTTGATAGATTGGTTTACGAATATTATTAGAAGATGAAAATTTTGATGCGAATAATTGAAGAGATTGAATACAGTGTATGATTGAATAGAAAATGGAGTTTCGAAGTGGAGGCATTGGAGTGAAACAGCCTGTATTGCAGAAAACGAGTGTTGGTTTTGTGGTGACTCAATTGAATTGGTTTTATTTTTTATTTTTTGAGTAATGAATCACATCGTATTATACTTGTATTTAGATTCTGGATTTGGAGGAGATGGTTCATGTTCAATTTTGATCTAACAACTAATAAATCAGCTGAATAAAATCTTTTTTTTTTTTTAATCTTGATATGATTATTGTAATGTATTCTATTTTTATATATTTATTATTTTTTAACCTATTAATTAGAATGTGTTTGATTCAAATTAAATATACAAATTTTTTTTTTATAATTTTAAAAAAAATTGAATCAATAATATATATGGTTTTTATTCTAGTGACTCATACAATTAACTGAAAACATCTTGATTAAATTTAAATATAATTATTGGTTTATACATATGTTAAAAATTTAAAGAAGTACAATCATGAAAAAGACTCAATTATAGAAAGCAATTGAAAATAAAAGTGATAAGACAATCAACATAATAATTGTATTGGGGTGTTTCACCTAGATGTATTATGAACATGCAACTACATTCTTCCCCCTTTTGAAGTTAGACAAGTTTTCACTTGAAAATGAGTCGACTTTGAGCAAAACGCAAATACGCTTATGCTTCTCCTGAAACATTGCACACAAGCCACAACATAAAACACGTAAAACAATTGTAGACTCACATTACAATTTCTCTCCCTTTGATAACATCTAAAAAGAGATATATCAAAATGCGTCTAAAAATCAAATAAACAACCACAAACAAATAATTTCAGATGAATATATGAGGTAAACAGCTAAGAAGAATATACAACAATAAAGATCAGATATAGAACACGAAATAGACATGCTACATGCAACAAAATGCAAATAGACATGCAACACCAATATTTAATAACAAACAATTGAGTGACTAAAACTGTTCTGGTCTGGGCCCAGCCTCGCGGTCCAGCCCAATAACGCACAAGGCCCATTAAGTGGACTAGCCCGACCGGGCACACGTACCACCGTGGGACGGACAGGGCACGCACTCCGCCGGGATGGACGGCACGTCCTGCAGCGTCCCAACGCCCCTTTGTCGGTCGAACCGAGCACCCCCGGCCCGTCGAGCAAGACCCTTGGTTCTTCCACGTCCACGAGTTCTCCCCCCCGCGGGGAGAACACCATGCTCTCAGGGAGTCCCTCGGGCACCCCTCTGCGGGGAGAACAACGCCCTCCGGGGAACCTCGCGAGCTCCCCTCCGCGGGGAGGACAACGTGCCCCGCGCACGTTCTCCACGTGTTCCCCTCCGCGGGGACACGTCACCAACCAACTGCCCACCTCCGAAAGAGCAGGTCAAACCCACTTTCCGGAGATCAAGGAGCAGTTGGACTAGGGCGAAGACTACGTCCTGGTCTTCACTACGCCACGTAGGCCCTAGCAGTCACCTGGGTTGGGCCTGACAATCCAGCCCAACGCAAGTGACCGTTGGCCCAGCGCTGGGGTCTCTCTATAAATACCCTCTTCCTCAAAAGGGTCAGGTAACACACTTCTTACCCCTTTTCTGTACTTTGCTCTCACTCTGTCCAATTCCTTACTTTGGCATCAGAGTGTCTTGCAAGTACACCCACTCTCCTCCTCATCACCGGTGAACAGGTAGCAGTCCAACAGCGTGTGGCCAGCCCGTGATCCCCTTCTGATCAGGTCAAATCAGTGGCGCCGTCTGTGGGAACAGAAACTTCCCCGTTATTCTGAGCAGAAAACCAAAGTTTCACCAACACTCCACGATCATGGCTAGCCCACACCGCGACGACACTCCGCACGACCTCGTGCTCAACGTCGCCACCAACGGAAACAAGCAGATGGAAACGACGCGTCCGGCGGAAACCGACGAGAGAGACGGCCAAACTGCCTCACCGTCATCCGCGGAGCGGCCCCTTCAGGCCGACCACCGGCCCCCGGGCCCGGCAGCATTCCAACCCGTTCCCATCCCGGCGGGAGCGGACCCAACAGTGGCCGCCCTCTTTACGGCCATCAACCAGACGAACCAGCTGCTGTTCCAGCAAAACGCGAGAATTGGAGCATTGGAACGCGTCGGCCCTCCGAGGTCCCCCCCCCCCCCCCCCCCCCCCCCGCGGGAAGACCAGAACGGAGGTTCGAGAAGTCCCTCACCTCGACCCAGAAATCGCCGGCCGCGGCTGGAGAGACACCGCACATAGGTAGCGCGAGAACGCACCAGGTCCCCAGCAAGACAAGTTCGCGAGAGGAACCAGAGCACTGCGGCGATCCCGGCCGGGGATCCTCGAGGCGAAAACCCAGGCAGGAGGTCGAGAACCCGAAATCGGGGCCCTATTTTGAACGGCTCGTCTCCCCATCGGTCCCCGGCACCCAGCAACGAGGACGATTACCGCACCCCGCTGTCCCGAGAAATCATGGCTGCCCCCATACCCCAAGGGATGGAGAAGCCCCCGACGCTGTCGACGTACGACGGCACATCCGACCCGGACGATCACCTAGAGGACATCGAGGTCTTGCTCGATTACCGAAACGTCCGGGGAGCTATCAAGTGCAGGCTCTTCCCGACGACTCTGAGGAAAGGCGCCATGACTTGGTATAAAAGTTTGGAGCCCGAATCAGTTACGTCGTGGGGAGTCCTGAAGGACCTGTTCTCTAAACACTTTACGGCGTCCCGACGCCACCCGAAGACAAAAGCCGTCCTCGGGGCGATCATCCAGGGCCCCGACGAACCTCTCCGAAAGTACATCGAAAGATTCACTCGGGAAGCAGTGCAAGTGACGACGTTAGACGAGATGAAGCGCTACTTAATGGAACATGGTCTACGCCACGACTCCAAATTCTACGAGGCCGTAGGCATACACCGGCCAACCTCCCTCCAGGATTTCCTCGACAGAGCCACGCATTATATCCGATTCAAAGAAACACAAGCGGCCAACTCCGCTCGAGACACCCGAGACAGGGAGGCCCCTCGCGGACACCGAGACAACGGAGCCTCGAGCCATCGACGGGGAGGGGACCGCCGTCGCGAAGATCGCCCCCGCGAGCCCCGCGAACAACGCGAATCGCGCGGCCCTGCCGGCCGATTCACAGAGTACACGGCCTTAGTCGCTTCCCGCGAGCGCATACTGGCCGAATGCGCCAAAACCGAATTCGTACAGGGAGGTGTCCGTTTTCCACGACCGACACCCCCCAAAGACGGTCACCTGAAGAGATACACCCGAGGAGGCGAACCACCGAGGCAAGAGGCCTCAGAGGCCAAGAAAGTCGAGAAACTCCCCTCTCCAGAGGACAACAACAGGCTCCAGGTTGCACTTTGTGTCAGCCGCCCCGAGGATTGGTTCACAGACAGAGAATTCGGTCTTCCCGAAGGACCCGACCTAACCGACGAACCAATCCGACCAACCAGCCGCTGGGAATACTTCGCCAGAGCCATGGTCATCTCAGATGGAGCCACGAGGAGCCTGTCTATAGGATCTGTGAAGAGAAAATTCGACGAGCTTATCGCGAACAACTCCGGAAAAATGAGCACGCTCAAAAAATTCTAAGGTCGATCCAATCCAATCACATTTTACCTCGAGGAACTACCCGGGGGATCCCCCAACTCCAACATTCCCCTGCTCATACGTGCGCGGATGGCGAACTTCGACGTCAGGCGCCTCCTCGTCGACGGTGGAAGCTCGATTGACATCATGTACACGCACCTGTTCACAACCCTCCAACTCGACGAATCCAACCTTTCCCCTTACGTAGGCTCCGACCTTCAGGGGTTCAACGGGACGACGACGAGACCTTGGGGGTACGTGGAGCTGAAAGTCACCTTCGGAGAAGAGGAAACAGCCAGGGAAATCAGCATCCGCTTCCTAGTCATCGAGTGCCCATCCCTCTACAACTGCATCCTGGGCAGGACAACAATAGCGGAACTCACCGCGGTACCCTCCACCGTCCACCTGAAGATGAAATACTACACAAAACGGGGGGTCGTGGTGACCCTTAACGGAGACATCGAGGCCGCCTGAAGGTGTTTTGAGGCCGCGCTGAAAGGTCTAAACTCCATCGCTTCAGCGACCAAGAGGACAACTCCAATCGTAACACCAAAGGGAAAACCAACGAAGCTAGTCGGATCCGTGGAACTCGACAGTCGCTTCACCGAGGAGCACGACCCCGAAACAAAGACCAGCGAGGTCAACGGGCAGCCCCCCACCCAGCGCGCCCCATCCCGGACGGAGAATTCGAAATCATCACACTCGGGGAAGACACGAGCAGAACCGTGAAGATCGGCGTCGGACTCCTAGACCTCGCGAAACGACAGCTCCAAGCCTGCCTCCGCGAGAACGCCGACCTCTTCGCCTGGAGCGCCACGGAAATGCCCGGCCTCGACCCCGAGGTCGCCTGCCACCAGCTATCCATCAGCCCGACCGCGAAGGCCGTTGTGCAATGCCGGCGTCGCCAATCCCCCGAAAAATCGGCAGCAGCCGAAAAAGCTGTAAAAGACCTCCTAGAGGCAAAATTTATTTCGGAAGCCCGATATTCAACCTGGCTATCCAATGTTGTACTCGTTAAAAAGAATAATGGAAAATGGCGCATGTGTGTTGACTATACTGACCTCAATCGAGCATGTCCTAAGGACGCCTACCCCCTCCCCAACATCGACAAGCTCGTCGACAACTCCGCGGGCTTCAGGCTCTTGTCCTTCATGGACGCATACTCGGGGTACAATCAGATCCCGATGGCCGAGCACGATAAACAGAGCACG